AAATCTTTTTCCCTTTATTTACTTAGACTCTGAGTCATCCAGATTCTATTCCATTGTTCCTCCACTATAGGGCCTATAAAAAAAATTATCACGCTCAGAATGAATTCAAATTGACTTGAATACTGTACCATGGATTGGAAAATGGGCCAAGGACGATAAACTGAGAACTTGTTTAACATGTTCAATGCCTGATACGCTCTATTCTTTTTCACCTCTATCCACTATAAGTCAACTGATACCTGTTCTGGGCTATCATCTGGTTTCTGATTGTTCTTCAGGTCTATCTGTCCCTGTCCTTTGTGTTCTTGACAAAATTATGTCTTTGGTAAGCTGGCTCTCAGGATCAGCAGCTTTTCCTTGAAAGGCTCCCAAAGCTGACTGGGAACTGGTTGCAGATGGCAGAACAGCAGCAGGGATCACCTAGAACGTGCCACTGGCTCAAAAACAGCAGCATATTTCTCAGCATAGTCTCCCTATCCACTTAGGGTAGCTTACCTAAAGAAAAAATGAATAAACAAGCCTAAAATTAGAAGGAGACAGACAACGCAAGGACACAATGGGAAGAGAGATGATCACCGAGTCAGCATCAGGTGTACCCCAGTAAAATAAGGGTTAATTTGGCTTCGGCTATGCTAGCAAACATGTAGCCCTACAATGAATTACATTTAATTTGCTTATGCAAAATAGGCCCCCAAAATGCACCTTTATTGAGGGGAAGGGAAGAGAAAGAAGATACAATAAATAAAAGAGGCTTGCTCTATTTTTTATATAAATGTTATATACCGGTAAAAACTCAGCCATAGCCAGTAAAATAAGAGCTTTATTTATTTACTGTCTTGCTTACCAAAAGCACCCAGGAGCTGAATAATTACAAGAGTCATATAGAGATCACATCCCATTAGTTGCGCTTGTCTATTTGTTCTATGAGAGATGATTTTCTTTGATTTCTAGAGTGCTGAGCTACCCAAGTCAGATTTCTACTATTCAGGTGCCTACATCACTGCTTGTTAGACACACAACACAGTTAACTCCTCTTAAAAACACATGAGCACATACTCTGAATAGGTGCCAAATATGAATTTCTCACAAGGAGGGAAAATGGCTCACATGATAGATCTATTGTAAGACCTCACAAAAAGAATGAAACCTATGCCTATTACAATCAAACATTCATTGTAAGTCATTTCAAGTGTGCAGGACTTACTATTTGCAGTATTTTACTCATAACAATGGACACCAGTTTATTTCATTAATATTTCAGTTAATAAGTGTAACTAAAGAATATTACTGGCAAATCAGCTAATAAACATTTAACTAAATAGCCAAATTCTCCCAGATGCTTAGTGCCCTCAACTTACATTAGAGTGTTAATGCTCAAGCATATTTTGCCAGTCATGTTTTATATTAAGGATACATTTATAAATAATTTAGAAAGGTTACTACATGATTAAGAGATGTTAACTTGTTACAGACATCAGTAGCTGGGCATAAGCATATTAGCAGACGAGTACACATAAGAACAGCCATACTGGGTCAGACCAAAGGTCCATCTAGCCCAGTGTCCTGTCTTTTGACAGTGGCCAATACCAGGTGCTTCAGAGGGAATGAGCAGAAGAGGCAATCATCAAGTGATCCATCTCCATCATCTGCTCCCAGCTTCTGGCAGTCAGAGGCAAGGGACACCCAGAGTATGGGGTTGCATCCCTGACCATCTTGTTCAAGAGCCATTCATGGACTTCTTGTCCATGTACATATCTAATATTTTTTTGAATCCTGTTATAGTTTTGGCCTTGACAACATCCCCTGGCAACGAGCTCCACAGGTTGATTGTGCATTGTGTGAAATACTTCTTATGTTAATTGTAAGAACAGCTGCCCATAAATTTCATTGGGTGACATCTTGTTCTTCTGTTATGTGAAGGAGTAAATAACATTTCCTTATTCAGTTTCTCAACACCAGTCATGATTTATAGACTTCTATCATGTCCCCTCTTAGTCATCTCTTTTCTAAGATGAAAAGTCCCAGTCTTTATAATTTCTCCTTGTACAGAAATTGTTCCATATCCTTAATCATTTTTATTGTCCTTCTCCATACCTTTTCCAATTCTAATATATCTTTTTTCAGATGGGATGACCAGAACCGCAAGCAGTATTCAATGTGTGGGCATATCATGGATTTATATAATGGCATTATTATATTTACTACCTTATTATCTACCCCTTTCCTAATTGTTTCTAACATTGCTACCCTTTTTGACTGCCACTGCAAGTTGAGCAGATGTTTTCAGAGAAATATCTACAGTGTCTCCAAGATCTCTTTCTTGGGAGGTAACAGCTAATTAAGATCCCATCATTTTGCATGTACAGTTGGGATTATGTTTTCCTATGTGCACTGCTTTGCATTTATCAACATTGAATTTCATCTGCCATTTTGTCGCCCAGTCACCAAGAAGGCATTATAGATGGTGACAAATTATCATTATCAGCCAACTATTGACCTGTTGGATTAAAAAAAATAATTAACTAACCATTTATTAACACTATTAGTTTACAAATGGTTAACATATTATTTATAAATGTATTGTTAATATAAAGTGTGACCATTTTTCCTGCTTTTTTGGAGGGGTTCAAAATTTGAAATATTTTAAATCTGTAATTCACATATTTCCAGCAGGTTCATGATCAAGAGCATATCATTACAACTTCCTTGTGCTTGTAGCAAACTGTAATTACTGACAAACTGTTTTCAGATCACACATTTAGTGGTAAAATGCCCAAAACAGACAGACAGAATGAATATATTTTTGAGGAAAGTGATGATGTTTTAAAAGAAAGCGCTTTCTCCATACTTCTCAGCAATAATATTGACCTAGGCTTGGATTCTCCCCCACCCCCGCCAGTTCTGACCATGCCTTATATCACGCAAGTTCCTACCTTGTACCCTGTACTGACGTTATGCCAGGACCCATGATTGCTGATCCACGGTAGGCCAAAGAGGAGACCTCACTTTTCTCATAACGAATAGTCAAAACAAATGAACATTAGCTTCATCTACTTGCGGCAGCTAACGCCCAACACCAAGTGCATTACCCTTTCTTTTGGCACACGTCTTTGTGCTGTAGCTGTCTTGAGAAATGCATAACTAGATTTTCATTTCTACATTATCAACACCCTTCATGAACGAACACACACACACACACACACACAAAGTAACCCAGCTCAAAAAATTGTATACTGCACAGTAAAACCTAAAGGATGAAATAACACACAATCTATCAAGGGATTTTTCATATGCCATCATTCATTTCAGTAGTCTCCATTTAGTAAAATATTACTGATGAATATATAGAAGAGATTTAAAGTGTAAAAAAATGTATACTTTAAATGAGTTAAAGCTGCTGAAAAGGCGGCATTTGTTATCCAAATTCAGGGCCTATGATCATTTTGCATTTTGTGGACAACCCAGATTTTTTTGCGCACATGAAAAATAGTGACATTTGAACAACACTGAAATATCTTCTGAGAACATAAAACAACTGCTTCAAGTTTTTACCTTATTTACAACTTTGTGGCATTATGACATTAGCACTTTTTTTAATCCCTTCTAAAATGGCTCTTACAAAAGGTTGTAAGAAAATAAAAAAAACAAACCAAGTGACATATTTTACCATTACATATAACCCGCTGGCCCCACTCCCACATCAACAAGAAAAAAAAACGTAAAAAAAGAAATCCTAAAATTTTCGCCACATTTTTTTGTGTCCGCAACATCAACTTTATTTGTCTACGGACAGCCTCAAAACAGCACTAGATGTCACTTTAAATTTGAAACACCAATATTCAGAGTCCAATGGGGAAAAGTCCAATCTTGATAGGATAAAATGTAAACAGGATCTTGAGTAGGAAAGACCTAATTCTCCAGCATAAATTTATTTTTCAGTAAGTACAATTGTACATGGAAGAAAATGAAAATATGAACTGGAGTTTTAAACACTTCTCAAAGGTATAAAATAAATCCTATTTCACGCTGCAGACCACAAGTATAGTACCTGATCCCAACATAGACTCAAGAGCAGTAGAAGCACCTATTCTTTTTGCAAGCGGAAGGCTGTTTTTCCTCATTTCCTCGGGTTAGCCTGTCTTTTATAACAACAGTGCAAAATTGGTAAACATAAAATCACAATGTCAGCGCTAAAGAAACAGGCTTGGGATTGTGTGCGCACAGCAGGCATTTTATTTAAGTCTGAGACAAATAATTAATGGGTCAAATCCTCAAGTGCCTTATTAGGAAAGAGGAAACATGCCACGAATGTCTCAAAAAAACTGTAGATGTGGCCAGGAGCAATACTGAGTTCACAAGAGTTTGCTCCTGTAGAGCCGCGAATATAAAGCCATTCCCACCTGTGCCAGGCCCTGCTGATGCTGGGTCTGTCTAGGTGCAATGAGTAGCAAGTATTCTGTTGGAACATCCTCCGTATGTGCGACAAGAGGCAGGACCAACCATTCCAATTTGCATCACAGTAGGCAGGAAATATCTGCTGCAGATATGGGTTTTTTTGGCAGTTTCTCTTTACTGCACATAAGCAGAAATGTCCCTCGCTTAGTCTGAGACTTCTGCACCCGCATCAGTGCGTTCAGCGATTCAGGACAAAGCCCTTTTGTAAATATTTTCAAAGCTCTAATTAATCACTGCTTGACAAATAATAATTTCCGCTTAAAAAATTAAACTACTGTGCATTCCCTGAAACTAACATTTAAATGTTAAAATGATGCTGGTTCTGGGCCCACAGTTTAACGTTACTGACTGAAACGATCAGCCCAATCTTCTAAGTAGCCCAAAAATACACGCTACAAGAACGCACAGCAAAAATTATAATATATCTCAATGATGAGCCACCTCATTCTTTTTTTTAAAAAAGCATTTCTGAGTTTAATTCAATTATATAACAAGGGGGAAACATATGAAAAACATAGCTAGCACCACTTATATATAATCCTCACCTCAAACTTCTGTCTGAGTTCTACATTTCCATCATCATCAGCTTCTGGAATTGGGACATTGTAGTATTCACCTTCTTCTTGATTAAGCAACTTGTACCTGTGGAACACATGGGGAGCGGGGACGGGCCAAATTAATTTTACTTCTCTTTAAAATATGATTTAGTATCCTATATGTGGCCTGTCTGAAATATAGGATGAAATCCCATCCCTGCTGAAGTCAATGGCATCATTCCCAGTCATATCAATAGCGACAGAATTTCAACCACTGTCACAATAGTGTAGTAAAACTATTTTATAAGGTTTATAGTGGACATGTAATTCATTAAATAAGACAAGGATCCGACAAGATGTTGTTTTGTAAAATCAGTTACTATACATTTCTGAGCAGGGTTATGCTGACCATGATATATTTACTGTTATAGGCTTGCATATTCAAGATCAAAATCACACCCACATTGCCAAATTCTGCTCTCAGAATTGAGTTTGCAGCACCGGCTGGTTGCAGGAGGAGTTTCACACACACATTCAAATGCAGACTTTTGCTTTTAGTATTTTAATTTTGGGGGGATTATTTATAATTTAACTGCTCTGTGTTTAATTTAATGATCCATGAATTTACAGCATATGAAATTATGCAAAAAGCATAAGGAAAGTCTTGGGGTTGAAAATATTGCTATGTAACTTTTTAAAATTTCCTCTCTTTCTCTAAGGCACCTCTTACCATCCACATGCTGGCATTTTCATAAGCTCTGACACCCCAAATGATAGAGATCCCATGAAATCATTTCTAGTTGTTCGATCCCAGTCCCAAACTTCTATAGATAATCGTCGATCTTTGTCCGTAGGTTTCAATTTACTACAAAAGGGGAGAAAAAATTAGAAAAAAAATGGCACGTTTTAAGTTTTCAAAAGTACAACTCAAACCATGCAGTGCTACATAGATAACATAGCATTACAAAAGGATTTAACTTACAATGTAAATGACTCATTCCAATGTGGGTTTAGAGTGGAACGGATAGTTTTTGTTTTTTGTTTACTTTCATTCTTAGGGTCAGGGATAAGTTTCAGCTTCACATACGGATCTGAAAGTCCGTTTGGATCCATAGGGATTAAGTTTTTTGCTTCTCGTACTGCAAATATAAAATGTATATATGTATTATGCATCTATTAACAGAAGAGAAATAGCTTAATGCTATTTAAATAGCACTACAAAACATTATTAACAGAATAATAACGTTAAGTCAAAGGTAAGAAAAAAGTAGATTACTGATTTTAAGCTGGTTAGAAAATAAAACTAACAAAAACCCTATGCAGATCCACTAATGAGATCAGGTGAGTGGACAAAACTTTGACTGCTGTGGGCTGAGGTTCATTTACGGATATTTGCTTCTACCCTGAGCATGGCAGGACGAAATGGTCGGTGAGTTAGACAATGCACATAAAACACTGGCACACAACAAATGTTATTTTCTGCCCATGGTATGATTGTTTAGCATCCAAACCGAACACAAAGAACTTCTAAGTTGGTAACTATTCTATGTGCCTTTATTAACTTGGACAAATAGCAGTACTGTATTACATTTTGCCGCACTTGCAAACATGAATAAAAGGAGAATTTAAGAAGTCTGGGAACACAGCAAACAGATGCGTTGTTTGTTCAATTTCTGAATCACAAGACCCATCTTATTGTATTCAGCAGCCTACAAGAGTAGGATACCTTTGCAAATGTTGGTACCTTGACTACAAAAAGATGTTAAGTTGCTGCCATGAAACAGAGGGCTGAGAAGAGCATCTTTTAAATTCTGTAACAGTTTGAAACTGGTACATATACAGCAAAGGGGATGTTGGATAAACTGTAATTGATTTAAGTTCAGAAGGCATTATAAATGCAGTTGGATAAACCTGCAATATCTATGAAGCCAGGTGTCAGGGGCTATTTTACTTAATGTACTTTTAAAGTAATCTATATGCTCAATTATATAACCACAGGGTTGCTTATTTTGGTGCTTATACAGCCTGTTAACAGAGCCGCAGGTACCTGAATTGTGAACAACAGATTTCACAAGGATGTGTTGCATTGTGGGTAAGCTGTACACATTTTTTTATAATTTTATAATAATGGAGAACATACAATGTTAAACTCTCTACAGACCAGATATTCATGAAAATGTTAGATGGAGCCACTACAAGAATAGGAAAAGGCATGTCAGAAACTTAAATCAAGGTTACTATGCTGTTTTAATTATCTCAAGTTCCACAAGAAAGTTGTGGTTGCTTCCAATTTTCTGATATGGGGGGAGCACAAATGTGCCCATTTTGTACTTTCTAGATTCTGAATTAACACCCCACACGGTATTGATCCCAAACAGGTGTGTGAGACAGATGAGAACAGTCTATAGTCTGCACACAGGGACATTCAAGTTGGGGGTCTCACGAGGCCATACCCTGACAGGTGTCGAGCAACTGCTGACATCAGTGGGAACTGATGCATTCATCAGAGGATCAGTACACCCAGATTTTGGTCCACTTGTGACTGCATCAGCAGCAAGCCTTAATTAAACAGTCCAGCAGTCACAGCAGAGGAGTGCTTTAAATTAATGAGAAAATGTATTAACTGAAATTCTCCTCTGTGCAGAAAGCCGTCACAAGGCCAATGTGCCATGAAAGTCATGCTACCTGGAGTGTTTACGTGGGGCTTAAGTGGTACAGCAGCTTTGTGTTGGCCCTCAGACCAGGGGTGAATTTCACCCTATCGAGAAACTGTCCACACCCCCAAACTTGCCACTTTGTGCTGAACTCTAATTAACATTAACGCAGATTTCATTTGTGGAACAATCGCAGAGCTTGCAACAGAGATCCACAGGACGTATCACAGAGGACAATTTGGGCCTTTCAGTTGCAAAGCAAACTGTGGGCTGAATAAGCCTATCCAAACCAGAAATATAAACAATGGCTTGTATGTATAAAATTTTGCTCACTGGAGTAGCCTTCTGAGCTACACATTTCACGGTCCTGAGAGCTCCATAGTCCCCAGAACTGCTCTGACTTATACTCAGTCTGCCTATGAGCTCCGAAGGGCTATGAACAGCCAAGAACAGCTGCAGTGCAGCGGTGTTCTGGCCTTGGCTTCTTCCTCTGAGCCCGTCCCTTGGGGCTGCAAGGGATGCTGGCGTAGAGCTTTTCTGCCAGTGGTACACCATTCCTGAGTGCGGTGGGGGGCGAGAGGGGAGGAGGAGAGCAACTGCTTTTAAGACACTGGAACAGCATAAAGAGGCCTCAAGGCAATGGAGACTCTTGCCTCAAAACTAATAACCCTTATTTCTTGTTTTAAATATCTAAATTCAATCTGTCGTCTTTCAGTGCAGCAGAACATTCCATTTCCAACCACTGCCACATGCATGACAGCATTCTGTCTTGAACCAAGAGAATTCCCACTAATTCCAAATGTCACATACTAAGATGGCAAAATTTTCCTCAAATATTTTAATAAATAAACAAGCGACGGATTTTCTTTAACTTAACCCATCTGTTTCTGTCTAACTTTGTGTTTTTAAAAATTAATATTACACTCTCCCACCCGATTTCACAAAATGGTAACACTTTGCTGTGAATATAGTTAAACTACACTAACAGGTGTATAATTTCCTGGTATCCACAACCATTGCTTCTCTTTCTTTGCCTTTGTTTGTTGAAACGACTGAAGACACACACACTGGCTTTAGAGCAAAATAACTTTTTTTTATATAAGTTTTATATAAGTTTTATATTATTATGTTAACTGCTCTGAGACATCAAGTGTGGCAAGAACACATCTGTTGAGCTGACTGTATTGTGTTTCTGCTTTGGAATTTAAAAATTGCACATCTTTAGATCTTTAATTTAAATACTTCATGTTAATCATTCAGCCGGTGTTGAGATGTTTTACTTTGCAATTTACCAGCTGTCAAGCACAGATAAGAATGAAATCAACATAGCTTAACATGTCACATAATTTCATGTAAGTTCACAATACTATCAACTCATTATGCAATTTATTTACTTAGAAGCTAGAGGTGCAATATTTGGAAAATAACCATGCCCAATAATTGAAATGCTGGGGATACCTTTATTTTCTAAACATTATCACAAGCTGTAAAGGAATTTATAATTTTGTTGTAGGCTACAATTTGGTTTTACAGGGGGCCTTTCATTAATAACATATCCCTAAGTGTTTTGTAGAAATTGAGTTACTGTAGATATTGTAACCAAGTGACTTTGTGCATTCACCCTTTGCTTTCACAGTCATGGATATTAGAAACTATTTTATCTAGCCAGGACACGAGGATCCTGGAATGTAACCAGAGTCAAGGAAAGGAAATTTTGTTTTAACTTATCTCATGTCACAGCATCCTCCAAACACTGAATTGCATTGTCAGATTCTGAGTATAAGATGAAGTACCACCTAGGACTTGAACCTATGACTTCCTGGCCTAGCTGTTAGAATGGTACCATCTGAACCACCCAAGCATAATATAATACATTGTTTACTCTCAGGATTCATAGAGCTGGAAGAGGACAGCTTTCAGCAGTATCCAGCAGTCAAATGACTCGCAAACTATGGCACCATTTTCAGAATAGGATCTGTTTTCCTTCTGAAAATAAAGGCATGATTGTGGTGGATTTACAACTGTGCACTGCTGCTGTCAAATAGAAAACAACATAAACAATGACAAAGACCCAGTACGGATGTCAGAGTAAAGCACGGTGAAATGCAGAATTATTAGCTAACGTGATACAATAGTGCCATTATCCTAAAGTATTAAAGGTGCTATACAAAGTCAAACAATAATTTTATTCAGTACCATGTTTGCACAATATACACTCTTCAAAGTAGTAAAAAATATATACATTTTTGAATATTTGTCAACTAATAAGAAAACTATATGAGATATTTAAAAATGTCAGGGGGTGTGGAATGGGCCACTATGTAAATATCAGCTGACAGGTGTATTTGTATATTGTATTTATACTACTTGCTTAAAATGAATGACAGCGCTTGCCCAGGTGAAATTTTACTTTTTACAATACTTGTACGTATCACACAGAAAGCAACAAAAAGGACAGCACAGTCAAATGATCTGCTACTACATTGATTAAATCTCTATTAATCTACAGGATCCAAATGCATGCTTACAGCTGATAAAATGGCTGAGAAAATGTTAATTGAATACAACAAACTTATGTGAAAAATAAATGTCCTGTTTAGAAAGGCAGTGTAGTCCAACGGATACAGCACTAGATTGGGAATGAGGAAACCTGAGTTTCAGTTCTGGCTCTGACACTGACCTCCTGCCTCACCCCGGGCAAGTCACTCTGCCTCTCTATGCCTGAGTTTCCCCTCTTAGTTGATTGTAAGTTCTTTGGAGCAGGAACAGTCTCTTTCCACATGTATGCATTCCACCACCTGGTACAATGGGCCTTTTGGAACCTGACACTAAGGCAATACAAATAAGTAATGATAATGTTTATCAAAATGATGGCATGAGAAAAACAAATCAACCCACTAAACTGTAATTAGCAGTATCTTTTCAATTTGGGAGATAAAAGCTCTCCCACCCTAACTTCCATCACATATCTCTGCTTTTCTTTAGAAGAGAGCTCAAAATTAATGAATTGTATTTTACAGCACCACCAGACAAAGTTAATAGAGATGACACTGGATTGCATAAATGTATTAAATAATTTCAAAGCAATTTACCCATGATACTAGCACAATCATTAAGTGTATAATAAGTAAATTAAATAAATGCTTATACAATGCTTTAAATATTCAGAGCACTTAATAAACCCACACAATACTCCTGTGAAGTAAGCACTTATAATCCTCATTACACAAATGAGGAAATGAGCACAATACACAGCCCTGATTCTGCAATGTATTTAAGCACATACTTAAATGCTTTTGTGAACTGGGGCCTAAATGACTTATCCAAAGCCAGCATCAGTGTAAGAGCTGAGATGAGATATCAGGAATTCCTCGCTCCTAGTCCCTGGGTAGAGTATGCAGCCACTCTTATCTTTGTATCTTATCTGCCTGACTAACATGGTTGTTCGTACGGGCCCCATCATCTCAGGATCTGAGAACCCAGCA